AATTGTATATATATATAAATGTAAAAAAAAATAAAGCATATAGAAAATTGATATTTTGTAGCAATTTTCTACTTATATATTTTAGACAATATTTAATTTAGCATTTAGATTATTGTTATTTTTTGTTCATAATTTTTTTGCTGTTTCTTTTTTCTCTTTTTCGGCCTATTTGTTTGGGGGTGGGTTTTTGGGGGGATGGTTAGAATAGATTCATATAAGAATGAAGGACAAGAGTATTGCAAGTTGCTGTTCTCCTTGTTCTTCCCATCCTAGTCTTTGCCAAGACATGTTCTTCTGAGAGTCATCCTGAACACTGAGAAGCAGTTTCATCTGTTTAGCAGTGGGATATGCAGTATTTTCTGTTCCTAATTCCCATCTCTTAGGAGATTATTTCTGCCCTTATCCTTTATTTTATATTATTTCATTGATAGGATCATGCAGAACTGTATTGAAAGTTCTGCTTGAGTGAATATAAAAAAGTAACTTACTTATTCCATGATTCAGTATAAATGTACTAATTATTGTGCCAGTATGAAGATGAACCCAAGATAATGTTATACTGTCATTAGTAATGCCAGCAATAGAATATTCTATTAATGAAAGGAAGTACATGATTTTAGCATATACTTTTGAAACAAAAATAATGCATTAATTCTGCCTTTTACAGAAAGTCTGCCATTCATTCAACTACTTGCATATATTTTTTAACATTGGGCTTCATCTACTTTCATATTTTATCCATGTATAATACTCTAATCTTTAAAATCAATTGATATTAACGTTAAAGTAGTCACACTATACGTTATAACAAGCTGGTAAGTTAGGTTGCCAGAGCACTATTATCTGTATTCACAAAGAATTAGCTGACATGGTCCTTTGGGTCTCGGCCAATGTAACCTGTAATAGTGAAGTTCCAAAAATTTACTTAGAAGAGTCTCAGAGTCATGGAATATGTTGTTATCAGGACATAAATAAATATATTTGCAGATGGTTGATATGTATTTCACTGTTTTAAAAGCTGCATTTATGTTTTTCCCAGAATAACATGATTTACTGATAGAAATAGCATGGTTCTGAATCAAATTATCTCTTAAATTCAACTATGTCTCTACAAAAAAACTCTGCTGAGGATGGTCCACAAAGCATTATGAATTCTTGTGATTTAACAAGGGGGAAAAAAGCGAAGTAGTACTGTCATCACCATTTCTAATTGTCTAGAAAACTCAGCTAATTACTGAGTCTCTTCCAATTTATAAAAATTATTCCCAAGTTTAGTTTAGATGAGCATGAAAACTGCGGACTAAATATCTGGCCTTGATGATTTATTAGCATAATTTTAGGCTGTTTAGTATAATATCTGTCCAGCGTTTTCATTGCTGATCTGATTTTTGTTTTAAGTCATTCACTTTTAACTTTTCCCTCAAAATTTTGTTGCCTTACAGTGACTGAAATTTTAAAATACTGCATATCTATTGCATCTTCCTTTCATTAAAAAAAAAAAGCCTATGCTTCTGTTGATGGTAGAACAAAATAATAATAATAATAATAATAATAATAATAATAATAATACCAGCCACATTAATAATGCTCTTTAAAGTTTTCAGAGCATTTCATTTCTTTTCCCTGATAACATTCATTTATGGGGAGATTAATATTGTCCCCATAATTCACAGGGATCATTGGGTTTGAAAAGCCCTAGTTTAAGTAGAGCTATCCCAGGAAACGTTTCTGTATGATTTATTTTTATTTATTTTTATGCCCTGCACATATTTGAGGTATAAAGCTGTTTTAGATGAACAACAAAACCTGTTGCAGTAGAAGGGAAGTGAAAACATGTTCTGAGTATATTCTGTAACTGAGTGTGATCTTTATATTGCAACAAAATATAAAGCAGATTGAAGCATTGAATCATAAACTGTAAAACCGATACAATTCTCTCTTGCTTCTTTGGCTTGGGAAGGGGACCTGATTCTCTGGCCAAAATGATTCACTGTCTTGAATTATACTATGCTTCATTTCTGAGTGTATAAACACACACTCAGAAAGTGTTGATTTGGCTTGGAAAAATCTACAAAGCAAAACTTCTGGCAGCAGAAAAAAGGCTTTGTCTGCCAATTACCTAATCAAATAGATATTCTGTTTTCACAGACATGTACTTTAGAAAAAGGGTACTAATCTCCCAGTTTGGAGACCCTAGGATTTGAATTAAGCTATTGATGATATATTAATTTATTGCTTTTTAATTTAATAGTGTTTACATTATTTTATTGAATGCATTTTCATATTGTCATTATATTTTTCGCCTGTGGTGGTTGGCAGCACTATAAAACAGGGCATAAATAAGTCAGACTTGCACATGTTAATTTGTATGAGTGTACAGCTTTCTCCTATTTTATTTTATAAAAATTCCCCTCTTACCCCTATGGGCGGTATGTGTCTTCCTCAATCTCAGATCCTCTACCAGAGGCCTGGGAGTTTGAGGGTTCTGCGCAGTATCTGAGCTATTCCGAGCACTGACCTCTTCTGGACACAGAGCTCTGATGTTGTTCCTGGGATCTGTTGGAGCCATTCTCCCAGCTAGCCTCGAGTGCTCCTACCACTACTAGGACCACTTTGGCCATACACACACACATATGCGCGCGCGCACATACACACTTTTCTCATAGTTTTTCTTATCTACTTCATAGCCATCATCCACTAATATTAATTAGCTAAAATATATGGAGATTCTGTCTTCTGTCAACTGCATTTGAGGTTGAGAAGACAATAAGATCTTTCCTGTGCTAGGAAGGGGGCAACAAGATGAAACCTCCTTAAACCCTAGTCTTTTTTTATCATTAGAGTCTGGGATTTGGAAGGAAACTTAAGAGCTTATTTTGTTCTACGTTCTCCTGGAATGAGTGTGGGCTGGCATCCCGAGGATGCATTCAAGGCAAGTATTTTACAGATGATTTTTCTTCAACCAAACTGGGACCTATTTACAATAACTGTATATAAAACTGAGGCATTTCAGAATTTTTCAGTGTTCACACTCTGATAATATGCAAGCTTTGCGGTTAAAGGGACATTATCTCTTGTTTTAGGAATGGCAACCTACTTCCTAGTTTAAGCTATCTCACTGGGTTTGGAGAAAGAAAAAATGACTGGGGAAGAATCATATATGCTCCTCTGTACTCTTGAGAGGATTTTTTTTTTTAAAGAAGGTGTTGTTAGACTGTGATAATTTAATTATCATTAAAATAGTCTAGCTTCATTATTTCCAAAGCATCTTGAACCTAGCATTTATTTTCAGGTAAAACAATTTCCTGCCATGCTCTTTATTTATTTACTGTCTAGACAGCCTTTAAGCTTTCCAAAACTCTTATGTAAGAGAAATAAAACATAAATAAAATCAATCTTAAACCCAAATGGTATAAAAATTAAAATAGCTGTCCAAAGTTATAAGATTATAAAATCCCAAGTATGAGTAACAGCACATGTATTCAGGGGAAAAACCTGAGCCATAAATGGATCTTTAGGGCTGCCTTCAAAGTAAGCTTTGATAGGACTTGATGAACCCTAGGGAATCGAAAAAGTCACCTTGATAATTACACATTATTTGAAGTAAGTGCTGACTTTCTTGCCTCTTGAAATGTCTAGTGGACATGAGAACAAGATTAGGTTCTCATGTTTCATTTATTGCTGCATATAGAAAAATGTCAGAACTTAATTATACTGATTCTTGACTGCGCTGTTGCTGTAAAGCTTCACAGGTGAAAGAAGCCTAAATAGTGCTGTATCCCAAGAGTTGCAACTGACTGTTGTCTTCCATTTGTAGCTGATGGTAGCAGAAAAGAATGGAACAATAAGATTCTACGACCTTGTGACACATCAGGCTATCTTGTCTCTCACAACTGATCAAACGCCACTAATGTCAGCAAGCTGGTGCTTAAAAAATACTTTTAAAGTTGGAGCAGTTGCAGGAAATGACTGGTTTATCTGGGACATTACTCGATCTAGGTATTGTAAAATATTCCATGTATTTTTTTTACTTTGAAGTTTCAGGATAATAGATAATTATTTAAAAGCTTTGCTTTTTTTTTTAACATGCACAAAATATTTCTCTATTATCCAGGCTACATGCCCTATTTATTATGTTTATTTGACTCAGAAGTGCAAAGAAACAAGGAAACGCTTAGAAGATAGTCTCTAACTCATTTTCTGTCATTATAGTCCTTAGTGTAAAAGACTACTATACTTTTGAATTTATAGGAGAATATCAACATAGTTGACATACTTTTTATGATGTAAAAAAAATGAATTGCGCTGTAAAAAGAATGGGTTATCTAGAAATCACTTACCAATTTACAAAAATAACTTCCTAAATTTGTATTTGCAGTTAATATTGATATAAAAAAAACAAGAAAAGGAAAATATGGGCACATATAGAGAAATAAAGCCAGGGAAATGCTTGCAATGCATTTCTTTGCTTTGTGAATCATTCCTTTTGTATCCCCAGCTACGTGGATTAAGTAAAGAGAATTAGAAATACCCCTGGCTTTTGTAGCAATCCTTTCGTACGTTACTCAAACCTACATATTTTCAAAAGTAATTTCCATCTGAAGTGCTTTTAAAATTGTGTTGGAACACAGCAGTTTTGTGGTTTTTAAGTGCCAGCCATTTCTACAAATAAAGTTGTTGGATAGCATGCATTTCTGATTGTTATCTTAGAATGAGGTAGGTAATGCAGTCCAAATTGTGTATGACCTACTTCTCGGTGGGAATTATGATTTTAATTATTAGAAATTCCTCTTTTTTTTTTTTAGTTACCCTTTGGATAAGAGGCCTGTCCATGCAGATAGAGCCAGATTATTTAGGTACATTTTATTTAGATACATACTTAATTGTTGCATTTGATTAACTGACTTCTCCATTAATTTTTGTTATGGGACCACAAGTCTTGCCTTTTGCCAATATTTACAGCTCCATTTTACATTTCAGAGATAATTGTGCAGTTTCTCCTTTGAAGTTGTATCCTAAATTAATTGTTCATATTTTCCTGTTTTCTGTTAGCCTAACCTTTCTAACCTGACATTTAGTGGTTGGGAACTCTGAGAATTGTGATCTTAAAACATTGGGAGACTATCCAGTTTTGAAAGGATTCAGTTGGAAAATGAAAGTCTGTTAAGAAAATGGGATGAAATAGGAAGTAAGGGAGAATTGTGGAACAATGTATAATAATTTTTACATTAGTTAGAACAGGCTGTGTAGGTCATCATGTTTATGTCCAAGCTTGCTCAGTGCAGGAATCCAAATTAAGGCATATTAGAGAGATGCTATTCCAGCCTGAGCACACACAATGAAGGGGGATTTACCAGCTCTTTGGATAATTGGCTCCACTGTTCAGCTGCATGTCTTAGTGTTAGGAATGTTTTCTAACATTCAATAAAAATCTGCATTCCTGTACAGGTAGTCCTCACTTAACAACCATTCATTTAGTGACTGTTCGAGGTTACAACAGTGCTGAACAAAGGGACTTACAACCAGTCCTCATACTTACAACCATCACCCCACTCGGTCACGTGATCACAATCTGGATGCTTTAAGGCAGTTGCAGCACCCCAGGGTCATGTGATTGCCATTTGCGACCTTCCTAGCCAGCTTCCAGCAAGCAAAATCAATGGGGAACCACGTGATAGGCTTAATGACTGCATGATTCACTTAACAGCTGTGGTGGTTCGTTTAATGACCACTGCATAAAAGATTGTAAAATTGGGTGCGACTTCCTTAAAACCACCCCACTTAACAACAATTTTGTCAGTCCCTATTGTGGTCATTAAGCAAGGACTACTTGTAATGTAAATTCATGACTTCATGTCCTGAAGAGCAGATTTAGGACATAGGCCCCCTAGAGATGCTTGAGTAAGCTGCATAAAAATGCTGGTAATAAAATAAATAAGGCTTAGTTTCTAGTCCCCTGAACATTTTAGTTGTCTTTCTCTGAAACTGTTACAATTTTTCGGAATCTTTCTTAAGGTATGGTGCCCAGAACTGCACACACTACTAGAGGTACAAATCTGACCACCACATAATATAATGAAATAATTGCTTCCCATGGTTTTGGTATTATATATTTCTGATGTATTCTAAAATTGCATTTTCATTGTTTTGCAGCAATGTCACATTATTATCTCATGTGCAGTCAATTACTATTCCAAGGGAAATGCAGTTGCTTTGCTGGAACAAAATACAATACAAAACATTCAGTACCTATATGGGGAATTTATAATTATTGTACCTTTCCTTTTACATGGAGCAAAAAGATGTGTGCATGTAAATACATTAGGCCTATGCCAAGCATTTAGAAGGGGAACTTCACAAACCATGTCAGTATGAAAAAGTGTCCCACTTCAAGTCTTAAAGTAGCTGTGTCCTTTGGAAGGGTCACTCAGATGCTTCAAAAATGTCCATGACTATGTGCATGCATAGACAACACTTCCCTGGGACAACCAAAAATTGAAGCCACATACAGCACCAACAGCTGGGGACAGCCTTCCTAATAGCTGCACAAACCTTCCAAAAGATGTGGTTGCTTTAATGCTTTGCTTACATTATTTAAAATATTCTGAAAAGCCATAGTGTACTCTACTGGAAATGATCCTATGAATGAAATTTCACTGGAAAAGATTTAATATGTACCTAACTCTGAAATGATGAAATTCAGAAGTGCTTAATTTTGACTGATTCATAACTATATTTAACATAATCTATTTTAAAATTTTGTTAAGATTCTCTTTATGTGTTTAGATGGTCCCGAGTGAATGAAAATTTGTTCGCTACTACTGGCTATCCAGGAAAAATGATTAGTCAGCTTCTGGTTCATCATTTAGGCCACCCTCAGGTAAATTTATGAAAATTGAAGATGTAAAATCTGTTTTTTATTATTTTTCTAAATTACAAAAGTTTCCTTAAACAACTTAGTATTTTTTATTTATTTTAATTGCTGTTAAAATAATACAAAAAGAAAAAGAAAAGGAACAAAGCACAGAGATAATTGTGACAGAAATACATACATTGTGAAAGAGGAAAAAAACACATAGAAATGCTTTAAAAAGTGAAAAAATACAACAAAGGAAAAAATAGTATATCATAACAGTAAACAGTTACAATTCTATATATACTTATCTAATGCAAATATTATTCAAGTACATATATATTTCTAATATACTTATATAACTATCATTTTTTTAACCTACTGTGTTTTGTATAAATGAGTCCCATATTCCATTATACTTGTCCATACAAAGTCTAGGTCTATCGGCAATCTGCTCATAGGTGGCAAGTGCAATCAGGTCTTTAATCCATTGAGTGAATGGGGCCATACATTTTATCTTTCCAATGTTGTAACATAAGTCTTTTGGCCATAGTAAGGACACAGAGAATCCATTCAGGCTGTCTAGTGGTCAAATTCCATGTACTAGGTATGTAGTTCAAGAGAATATTATCCTCTGAAAATTTTAGCTTTTGTCGCGCAGTAATATTTCTATAATCCACTACTTTCTCCCAAAACTTACTAAGTATGGGACATTGTAAAAACATGTTTTAAAGAAGCATTATCCTTATTACATCTCCAACAAAATGCTGTTTTTAACAGCCCTTTTCTATACAAACATAATGGAGTCCAATACATTCTAAATATTATTTGTTGTTTATAAGTCATAATTTAAGGTCCATTGACACTCTTGCTATAGAAGTTAAGACACTCTCCCATTGTCTAGGCAATATAGGAACCTCTAATTCTTTATTCCGCTCATTTCTTAGCATCTGCATATCAGATTGATTTATTGATAACAAATATTTATAAATTTAAGGTCCATTGACACTCTTGCTATAGAAGTTAAGACACTCTCCCATTGTCTAGGCAATATAGGAACCTCTAATTCTTTATTCCGCTCATTTCTTAGCATCTGCATATCAGATTGATTTATTGATAACAAATATTTATAGAAACTAATAGTAGGCTTTTTAGTTTTAAAGGATTTAACAAGTTGTTCTAGTATCTCAGGTGTCTCAGAAGCTGCAAATGCTGCTGGTCCAAATAATATCGTTAACATATGTTTTAGCTATAAATATTGCCATTGGGTTACATCTGATAGATGATATGTATCTCTCAACACAGCGTATGTTAAAAAGTCATCTTCATCACCTATCAGTTGATCCAAAGTCAGTATCCCCGATTCCATCCAATTTTTCCATATCACCATCTTTCTCCCAATTTTTAAAGTTGGGTTTCTCCATAAAGTCAATTTAGCATGGGAAAAAGGGTTGAATCTTTTTTTATTAGACATTACATTTCATAACTTTCTGACATAATTGTTTCCAGAGATACTAGAGTTTTAGTGTATTAGGTCCTAACACTGTCCATCCAACTAAAGGTGTTACATATGTATATTCTAACGTTTCTCAAATTGGAAAACTGAAACCAATTGTTGGCTTCCAGTGTTTAATAATTGACAATAGGTGAGCATGATGATATAGCTCCAGATTTGGAAAACCGAATCCTCCCTCATTAATTGGCAATTGCATTTTCTGTAAAGATATACTCAGAATCAAAGAATTTGTTTTCTGAAAATATTTTCCAGATATATAAACTGGAATTTCTCTCAGAATATATATTAATCTGGGAATAATGTTCATTTTGAGAGTGTTCACCTTTCCCCAAAAGGTGAGGTTTAATGACTCCCATCTATCAATATCTGAAGAAACTTTTCTATATGTTTTATTTATATTGCATGTTGCTAATATCTTTTGGTATACACATACCTAGGTATTTAATGGATTTGGTACTAATATGGAATTGATATTTCTTAAATGGATGGGTAACCAAATTTTCATCTGTTGGCATCAGTTCCAATTTGGACCAGTTAATATAGTATCCTGCTATTTTACTAAAGGCATCTATCATTTGCATCAACGCTGGAATAGTAGTGTAAGATTTAGAAATAAACAAAAGAATGTCACCTGCAAATAAAACCAACTTATGTTCACTTAAAAACTTAGTATGATTACATGACAAATTAAACATAATCCAATGTGGTAATTTTTTTTGTTTTATTTTATCTCACTTGGACTTCATATGCTTTGAATCTACTTTATCAGAACATCTCAAGGAACACTGCATTTGTAGTGTCAAAATGAAAAAAAGTTATAGGTTGGAATTCAGAGCCACTTTAGACATGTTCCCTTTAAGGTCTTGGGCATGCTTGTGGGGATTTTTTTAAATTTTACTTTACTGCTCTTAAACCTTAGATTCCCATGGTGCAAGGCACAGTGTTCTTGGAAATAGCTCCACTTTAAAAAACAATTTATTAAATACATGGAAATTGGCAGCTCAAGAGGAAAGTCCTGTTTAGATTCTGGTTGTAGGGGGTTAGCTGAGAATATTTTGAATGCATTAAAACATATTCTAGGTTCACCTGGCTTTAGCAGGCAAGCTGTTCAATCTAAGGTTTACGGTGGTACAAGTAATTAACTTTGTGACATTGTGATTGAGTCCTTCTGAAATAATACTATAAAATCTGGCTTTTGTGGCTTACCATATGAGTTGAAGTGATTATGAAACTGAGGTTTGGAGAGTAAGCCGAGTCCACTGGAAAAGACTTTTGAGAATAAATTATTCTACCACAATCCTCTGCATCCAAAAAGGAACACAAGGATCAAGAGAATTAAGATCATGTCTGTATATTTTGCATCATGTATTTCATCTTATACATGGTGGAGGTTGCACAAATTCAGCTTTGATGTCCAGTGAATTAGATTTCCACAAAGCAATAATAGGAACAAGTTAATAGAATCAATAAGGTAATACCTTGTAAAGGAGTTTGAATTTCTATAAATAATTGATCTGGTAGAATGAATATTGGAAGCCTACAAAAATAGCATAAGTGCTTATGCTTTGGTTTAATGTAAGTCGTACAATAGAAGAAGAGCTTCTACAGATCTTAGTGTATCTACATGTTGGTGGTGGCAACAGACATTTATTTCCACCTGCCTCCTGATTTTCCAAGCTAAGTAAGGCTTAAAGAGTCAGCATTAATTATGCTTGGAAGTGGACTCATAACAAGTGCATTTCTTAGATATCCATAATGGGTGTATTTTGACTGATTTAGCTGATTTTAATCTTTGCCAGAGAAGATGAACATTAGAAGTACTTTGGAAAGCATGAGAACTTTTTAGTCACCAGTATTGGCCAGATCAAATGCCTGAGATGTTTACAAGCATCATCTATTAGTTCTTAGTATTTAACTATCAGAGGTAAATAGATATTGAACACGAAGTAAAAGGAATAGGATATGACAAATTCAAATCTAGGTATTACTGTGGAAAAAGAGAGCCAATCTGGTCTAGTGGTTAAGACACCAGGCTCGAAAGCAGGAGACTGAGTTCTAGTCCTGCCTTAGGCATGAAAGCCGGTTGGGTGACTTTGGGCCAGTCACTCTCTGTCTCACCCCAACAACACAGGGTTGTTGTTGTGGGGGGGGGGATAGGAGGAGGAAGAAGTATTAGGAATGTTCACCACCTTGAATTATTTATAAAAATAATAAAGGCAGGATTTTAAAAAATCTTTAAAAAAATATTCAAATTCATATCAACCCTTGAAATAACACAATAAATTTCACAAAACAAGTAAATGAAGGTGGTAAGTTCTGGATGCAGTGTCAAGTACATGGTAAAACATGGTAGTTCTAGATGCAGTGTCAAATCTTAAAAAAATATTGGGAGGACAGTCTCAATTTATCTTGGGCGCATCCATTAACAGTAGATTTTTAACTTGTATATAGCTCATTCTTTGCTAAAGCATTATCTTCTGGTTTCTCGTTACCAGTTTAGAAATGAGCTGCCTTGAGATTTATGAATTCCAAAGTTATATCCAGTACCAGAGGTGATTGCTGAGTCATGGCCTAGCAGCTAAAGAGTATTTTGAAATTTCTTTTGAAGTTGTCTTACTGTATTCTAGATCTTGAATAGCAAGAATAACTAAACTAATTTAACTCTTTCTCTCTGCAGCCTATCCTTATTGGTTCTGCACCCTTAGGATCTGGTTTAACCTGGCATAGGACCCTTCCACTATGTGCCATGGGAGGAGATCATAAAGTGTTTTTTTGGGTGACGGAAATGTGAAAAAAATGTATGTATAGTGTTGGATCATGATTAGGGGAGGGGAAAGTTGAAGTAATATAGTTGGCTTATTTTACACTGCTATTATATAGCTATAAAATGAGTATATACAAAGACAAAGAATGTTTTCAGGGCTATAAGTTCAGTCGGTGACATCAGAGCAATGTTCTGCCTGGGGAAAAAGTGTTCGCAGTGAAACATCACTTTTGAACAAAGTTCTGCAGATTTTAGATGACTTGGTTTCTAGGGCTAGAAGTGCAGCTGGATTTAGCAGGGCATTATACCCAAAATCATCTGTGCAAATCTTGTTGAAATACACTCTTGTGCGAATTCTCATTGTTTAATAGGAAGTGCATCCAAGATAGATTGCCTATATGGAAAGATATAAACTTTCATATCATTACCAGCAAAGTAATGTAGTTGGTGAAAAGTGTTAGTTCAAATCCCACCTCAGCCTGGAATGTTCATTGACAGAGCACAGGAAAATCTCTCACAGTGAATATTTCTTAGTAAAAATTGATTCCTGATATGAATGCATATCTATGTGATACCAAGAAATGTCATGCTAACTCTACATAGTGAGGCATGATAGCTCATTTATTGGCCTCTAACTTTTACAACCTAATATATCAAGAAAAAAGTCAAATCAAAAACAGGATCAAAAAATTAGTCAGTTTCTACAAAAAAATTAAATTGTATGCCTAACAGATTCTAAATGAGAAAAGAAATCACATTCTCATTATGGAAAATAGGAACCATTAACAACAGTACTCTTAGTTATCTGTTATTAGCAATATCGGTAATTGATAACTAATAAACATCAAAATACTTGTTAAGGTCAGGCTGTATGTGAATTAAGAGATATATTTCCTGTTGGAGGAATACTTCCCCTACTCCATGCTTCAGAACAGAATATCAAAGAAATTTATTTTGGGGAACTTTTGTGTTGAGTACTGCAGGGCAAAATATCAGAATAGGAATAATGGAGAAATAGAAGGGATGTTTGTCTGTCTGACTGCAAGAAAAGAATACCTTCAACTTCATCTAACAAGAAAAGATTTTTGAACTCTGCTTCACATATGCCCACAACAAAACTGTTTTAGCTACATATACAATACATCTTTCATTAAAAACAGTGCTAGTTCCTGTTAACTTAATTATCAGATTACCCATATGAATTATAAATGAGACTGAACATTTTTAAACATGTTTTCTGACTTATTTTAGTACTAATACTAAAAATTATAGGCTAGTAAGCAGGAGAATTGTAGTTCATTGTATGGTTATGTGCTACAGACTGAGCAGCAAATTTGCAATCGTTTTGGGATCACCAAGATGAGTAAAACAGTTGCTTGAATAGACACAACGATCACTGAAGTGAAGTGATCACTGATTCTTTTTTTGTTAAGAATCATTTTCCTGGGTCAAGATCAGCTAGAACTTCAGTCTTTCCAGGTTGCTGAATAATGGGCAAAATCAGTTGCTTGAAAATTAAAAATGCCCATAAGCTTCCATTCATCAATGTTTTTGAAGACTGAGCTGTAATAAAGACTATAATTTTCACAAATGCAGAATTCAAACATTATTTATTTCATGTAGAAGTTAATAGTATGTGATGGGACAGGGTTTTTATAAACTCAGGTGATACAAATCAGACACAAAGATGTTTTTATTTAAACATGTTTTAAATTTGCTTTTCTAAGCTGCAGTGTGTCGTTTTATTTCACATTAAAATTATGACTTTATTAGCTGTCTGACTTGTTGCACAAATATAACAAGGCTACAATAAATTAAACATTCTGTAAATATATATTGAGAACACTTATTTTATTCAAATGTTAATGTTTTATTTGCTCACAAATATGTATTGCCTACCACCAGGCTGTTAGCTGTCCTTGACATGTCTTTTATATGTTCTCAGTCAAGAAACAAAAAAAAAAAAAATTGCACCTCAAAGCTTGAACAAATCATGTTAAAAAAATACAAACAGTTTGTTCTTTCTAAAAGCTGTTAATGTACTGATTAAAAGAATTGTGTGAAAGTTTATAAGAAAATTCAGCTGGAAAATAATGTTTTGATGGGTTTGTAATCAATTGCTCTACTTCAAAAATCTATTTTGTATATCTCTGTTTTAATTTAACCATTAGCTGATCTGTTATTCAGAGTTTTTGAAGTATGCTATCAAACGTCCTGGGACATTTCTCTTTGCACAGTATTTCACCTTTAAATCATTCTCTGAATATTTCTGTTTTTACAATTTTCCTACAGGTTAAAGCAGACAAAATAATGTCAAAGACTACAAAGTTTAGCATGTAATCCTCTTTACTATAGCATGGATTCATACATTCAGATCACTAGCACATTTTCTATATCAGGACCTCTAAAGTAAGTAGCTTAACAAGTCAATCTGAAACATGCAGGAATGAGAGGAAACTGAGTTTTTTAGTTCAAATAGCTGAAAGTGACCAGTATAATTTCCCTTGTATGTATATTTCCCAATCTAATATTGTTCATCTGTCATGTTTGGCAGACATTTATGGACAGATAACACCATCTTTTCTTCTAAATCATAAAACATTCTTCCGCCAAAAATATCAAATTAATTTTACCTATGTGAATCTAGTTTCTGATATTTGGAATATTTGTGCACTGCCTTTAACAATTTATGCTAGTTTTCAGAGGTCTGCCTATCTAAGCCCTTAGCATCCCTCATAGCCTGTCCTGACTCTCATTTCTACTGAGAGTATGAGTAGATACCAAGAGTTTAAAATAAAAAATGTTTTATTTATGTCAAATTAATTTTAGGGTTTTTTTTTTGAAAAACCTCAAAAACCTTTTCATTTCATTGGCTTTTGTAATACAATGTTTTATCTTTGTGATTTTTTATATCAAATTTACTAATATTTTTCTTAATATTTTCTTAATTTTCCAAATTAAACTGTGCAAGAAACTTCCCTTCTTACAAACCGAATTTAGTTTAGTTATTCAGTTCCACTGACATGAGATGGTCTAGTCTGTGTCCAAAACTAGTCTCCAATTTATGTAACTATAGTTTACATGTATACAGATGAACACATGAACTGATGCTTCTTTAAAAACTCTATGTTGATAACATTAACAGCCCTGCTGGATCAAGCCATCTTAATCCAACATTTTGTTTTCACTGTGGTGAATCAGATGATTCTGAAATGCTCACAGACAGTTGATGCAAATTTATCCACATCCCCCTAGTATTTGGGAGTGTAATAGAATTTTGTTGATAATGAAGCTCAAGCTCAGATACTTTGGTCACCTAATGCGAAGAGAGATCTCTTTG